ACCCCGGCGGGGTCCCCTGTTCTCGGTGTGCCCTGCAGACCTTCTTGCTTGCAAACCATACTCGACAAGCGCCCATGAACGCACCTTTCATTTCAGGCTTCTCCACAAGCATGCCCTGAAGTGCGTGCCCGTCGGGGACCTGGCCTGGGGAGGGTGCGTGGCCCTCACCTGTGTGGCTCCGTGGAGAGCGCGTGAGCCTGTGGACTGAAGGGTCCCAGGCTCGATTCCGGTCAAGGGCATGTACCTCGGTTGCAGGCTCAATTCCCAGCCCCGTCTGGGAATTGACAACCAATCATGTGTCTCTCGCACATCGATGTTTCTCTCTCTGTGTCTCTCCCCCTCCTTTCCACTCTCTTCTTCTCCTCCCTATTCTCCCTCTAAAAAAAGGGGGGGTTCCCTTGCGTCCTAGAGCTGGTCTCGCCTGGCTGCCTTGGCCTTGGGGCCAGTGTGGGCTGTGCTGCAGCCTCGGCACCAGGCCCGGCTGAACCAAGGAGCAAGGAGTAGGCATCGGTGATGGACTTTCGGTCTCTAACCATCACCCCTCCTGGGAGAAGGCTGTGACGGCCGCCTGACAGCTCCCGCTCTGAGTGGTGCTGGGTTTCCCTCGTCTCACTTTCTGGAGCTCAGGGAGCTGGCGAGATCCGGGAGGCCCAGCAGCTGGCCAGGGAGACAGGCAGGGTCCCCTGGATAAACCCGTGGGGATTCGCACCCAGGACCAGGCCTGCCTGCTGCACGGGCTCTCCCAGAACCTTCCCCTGGGTCATTTCCCAGGGCTGAAGGGAGCTGACACTGCCCCCTGCTGGAGGGCTGAGGAACAAGCTTGAGTCTCCCAGACAGAACGGTCTGGGAGTAGTTGGCAGAGAGGACTCGTGTTGTTAAGACAGTTACTCAGGTCACAAGGGCTGCGGTGCCAGAAAAAACAGGTGCAGGTCACATGACCAACCAGAAGGAACAGGTGCAGGTCACATGACCAGACTAGAAGGAACAGGTGCAGGTCACATGTCCAGACCAGAAGGAACAGGTGCAGGTCACATGACAAGACCAGAAGGAACAGGTGCAGGTCACATGACCAGACCAGAAGGAACAGGTGCAGGTCACATGTCCAGACCAGAAGGAACAGGTGCAGGTCACATGACCAGACAAGACAAAACAGGCGCAGGTCACATGACCAGACTAGAACCAACGGGCACAGGTCACATGACCAGACTAGAACCAACGGGTGCAGGTCACATGACCAGACTAGAACCAACGGGCGCAGGTCAGACTGGAAGGAAGCCATTGGGGCAGGCGGCCTCTCACGGCCTCGGTGACCCGGGAGGATGGCCGGTGTCACCCGTGATGCTGCTGTGCACTCTTCCTGGCTGTTCAGACTCAGGGCCCTAACGCGGCGGGGACTCCAGCCCAGAGTCAGGCTCGCGTCTTGGTTCCGCTCTGCGAGCTGTCGGGCTGGAGCCGTCACTTCCCGTCTCTGAGCCTCAGCCACCTCACTCCACACCAGCCGCTCCCGCTCACCTTCTAGAACCGTACGAGGAGGTGAGGCCGGCCTGGCCCGTGGAACTCAGTGGGTGGGTCTCTGTGTCGGTGAGAGGGCCGAGGGGTCCCCACTTCTCCGGTTGGTGGTTGGCAGAGGCCTCCCCCATTTCAGGAGGCAGTAGGGGCAGGGAGAGCGGCCACAGCGTGAGAGCGTGGGGGCCCCGGGGCACGACCTCCGGCCCCTCCTAGCGGAGGCCCACCCGGCTGTGGCCTGGGGGAGCCAGCCCAGCCCGCGGCTCAGGGGAGGCGTGAGTGGGGTCACCGGCTGCACCCACAGCCCGTGCTTTCCAACCGGGAGAGGCTGACAAAGGAGCGAGAGGCCCAGCTGAGGTCCGGGTTTTTCTTTTTCTTTTTTTTTTTTAATATATTTTTATTGATTTCCGAGAGGAAGGGAGAGGGAGAGAGAGAAGCATCCACGATGAGGGAGAATCATAGATCGGCCGCCTCCTGCACGCCCCCCACTGGGGATGGAGCCCACAAACCCGGGCATGTGCCCTGACCGGGAATCGAACCCTGACCTCCAGGTTCCTACGTCGATGCTTAACCATTGAGCCACACCAGCCGGGCCGCCTGCTCTTTTGTCATTTCTTGTTCTCTTGTTGGGAAAATCGCTGTTAACTCACTGCCTCTTTCTCTTAATGAGGAGTTGTACGCGGGACACGTGGGGTTTGAACGTGCAATGCATATGTGATGTGTGAAGTGGCTAAAACGCCTAATCCCGAGAGGTGGGCAGACAGACGGGGGCGTGTCTCTGCGGAGGGTCCCCGCCCCTCTCGGGAGCCTCTGTGCTATGTGCCGATGTGTCGTCTCGGGAGAATCTGGCGGGAGGAACACACTGGAATACGTCTGCCATGCAGGCACTGCCTGAGCCTCAACGGTGTCACCTTCACTAGCAACTCGACATCTAAACCGCCAAGGACACTTGGAGTCAAATCCTAAAATGCAGCCGGCGGTGGCTCGCTGTGTGAGTCATCCTTTCCTGTTTGTGTAAATATAGACGCTGACTCTGCAGGCCGACGGGCCCGCACGCTGGCTCCCTGCTCTGCCACACACCTGCTCTGTGACTCCGGGCAGCTTCCTTCACCTCTCTGAGCCCGTTTTCACGTCTATAAAATGAAATGCGTGAAAATATCTCCCAACGTTGAGGGTTAAATGAGAAAATGCCTAGGAGACACTCATCCCAGGACCGCTCCCTACATGTGAGCCGTGTGGCAGTGTGAGAGCGAGCAGAGGTCAGCTTTGAGTGACCCGTAGAGCGAGAAAACACTCCGTAAACCCAGGGTTGAAACTCGCATTGCACATGTTGGTTCTGCGCTCCCCGTGCCCACACCCCACCCCCAGCGACTCTGCTGGGGCTCCGTGACCCCTCAGATTAGAACTTGGACTTCCCGCCCAGATGGTGTGGCTCAGTGGTTGGGCATCGACCTATGAACTAGGAGGTCATGGTTCGATTCCCGGTCAGGGCACATGCCCGGGTGGCGGGCTCCATCCCCAGTATGGGGCTGCAGGAGGCAGCCAATGCATGATTCTCATCATGGATGTTTCTGTCTCTCTTCCTCTGCCTTCCTTTCTGAAATCAATACAAATATATATATTTTTAAAAAGAACTTGGGCTTGCCCTTTGAGCTGGCACACTTCTCCCTGGGGCTGTCCCAAGGTCACTGTCCCCCGTGCACTCCGATGCTTTCCTTTGCACGATGGGCGTGTGAGCAGCTCCCTGGCACCCCCCTCCCACCTGTACCCGCCAGAACAGGGTGGAGGGAGTCGTGAGGGAGGGCCCTGCAGCAGCTGAGAAGGGTGTCGGCACCTCTCGGGCTAGTGCCGGGTCTGTGGCCCTGAGGGCAGAGACACACGCCCCATCCGAACACCCTGCAGTGGGCGTGTGACACGGGCCCTGATCTGTGAACCTCGCAGGCCTGGCTGTCGGGGCGCAGAGAAGCGAGGCCACATGAGGTGCTGTCAGAGGGCTGGGAAGGACCGGGGAGGGCACAGCCAGGCGCTGTCTGCCAGGCCCTGCCGTGACCAAGTAAGTAGCTGCCACTGGGGTGTGGCACCTCCTTCCCACGTTCCCAAGAATGAGGGCGACCGGCCACCGGGTGACGCTGACCGTGGTGCCCTCCTGGCCAGCTGTGCCGCGGCCGCACCAGGCTCTGTCCCATCTACCCAGGAGCAGAGATTTACAGGAGGCAGCCTTGGCTTGTTGTTCAAAGAAGGAGCGAGCCCTGGCTGGTGTGGCTCAGTGGATAGAGCGTCGGCCTGTGGACTGAAGGGCCCCGGGTCCCATGCCCGGTCAGGGCACATGCCCGGGTTGCGGGCTCGATCCCCAATGCGGGGGGCGTGCAGGAGGCAGCCAATTGGTGGTTCTCTCTCATCTTTGATGCTTCTCTTTCTCTCCCTCTTCCTCTCTGAATTTTTTTTTTAAAGGACCGAAAAGGAGGCCCGTTCCCCTCAGCTCCCGAGCTCTCGGGAACATTCGGCCTCGTTGGCAGGCAGGGTCCCTGGGTCCCTGCCCGTCCTGACGCTGTCGCCTTCCTCCCCCGCAGATCGTGGCCGCCATCCTCGCCATCGCCGGGATCGTGATGATGACCTACGCCGACGGCTTCCACAGCCACTCGGTCATCGGCATCGCGCTGGTGGTGGGCTCTGCGTCCATGTCCGCGCTCTACAAGGTAAGGCGGGTGCGTGGGGGCCTCCCG